TGAGTTCCTTAGGCTTAGTCTATTTTTCTGATAAGGTAGAAAAGGGCACCACAAGCTTTTCTGCTCTTTGTTGAGATATTAAGTATTCAGCATTGTTGAAACCAAAATCCAAAAGCTTTTATTTAATATATAGCCTTAATATACCCATTTACTTAATATATACCCAAGCCTCTGTTATTTTTTTTACTAAAATCTCTTTTTTTAGACCATTTGGCACATTTAGAAAGTTAAAAATACATTTCTTTCTGTTCATTTCCCCTTTAAAAATAACCAGATAATCTCTTTTCTGTGCATCCTTTGTTGAAAAAAAAAAGAAATTATATGGGTTTGAAGCATCAAATAACTACATGCAGCAAACTCAACCTCCTTAAACAGATGTTCCTCTTAAGAAGATTATTCTGTGCCTGAGACAGCTTTGCTTCTTATATGCAGAGACATGATATGTAGGATTTCTGGTGCTGTATCCAAGGTTGCGACGCCACAAAAAATAACTTCATAAACACTGGGAAAGCTGCTTAGTTTAAAAACCCTAGTCCTTCTTATATTTACAGTAACCATTAAGCAAACGATAAAAAGGAATATGAAAGCAGAATCAAATGCATTAGCTAGTACTTCAGAATAGAATGAGCTAATAGTATTAAAACTGCAAGTTGAGAAGGAATACTAGAATATTCATCAAAACACTGAACAGCTTTTATACAAGTTGAGCATATGGTACACTTCTGCACCTTCTACAAATAAAAGCACACATTTTTTTACCTTATAAGTAGCAAATGCTACAAAAACTTCAAAGAATTCCTCCAGTCTCTGTCTACCAATAAAGGAGAATATTTGTAATTCAGTGATCATTGGTGCTTTCTGAGCTTGTTTTCTTGCAGACATTTCATTATCCAAACTAGGTAACATCATCAGTGCTAGTAAAGGGTAGGATTTGCTCTTTATATTCTAGTGGCTTGTCCTGTCAGTGTTGGTAGAGGTGGTCTTAGAGGTTCTTTGTTTGCTCTGTTTACTGTTAGCTTGCTTGGCAGTTCCTTGATTTGGGTTTTGTTTGCTTCTTGATTATTGGTCTGATGTTAATCTTGGAGATAATCTATGCTCATCTGCTGGCTGATTGCTGGTGGGGAGGTGTTCTGGTCTTTTTGTTCCCTTTTTGACTTATTGTTTCTTTTGTATAGTATATGGGTATTTAATTTCACAACATACAAACAAACTTAACCACAGTTTCAGCTGGGAAACTGACCATCCTAGATCAAGCCGAATCCAAAAACAATTTCTAGAAGGAATTTCTAGAAGAACTTGCACTCTTAACAAATCAGCCATCAACAGACACATAGACAAAAAAACAATATCCGAACAAGCTAACAGTAAACAGAGCAACCGAAGAATCTCTAAGACCACCCGCACCAACACTGACTAGGCAAGGAACTACAATATAAACTGAGAGCAAACACCAGTCCTTACTAACAATGATGATGTTACTTGGTTTGGGAGATGAAACATCTGCAAGCAAAAAAAAAAAAAAAGTTCAGAGAGCACCAAGAACCCCTCAGTTTCTGTCTATTTTGTGAAATGTTCTGGTGTTGTTTAGCTTAGTTTTAGATGATTTATGGAACTCAACATTTAGAAGGAAACAACCCCATCCTTGCTAAGGCAAGAACAAAATTTGAGGCTTTCCAGACATTGATGGGCTTTTACAATAATTCCACTGATGTACAACTGTTCCCCATCTTGATCTGTTTCAGGTGGCAATCTGCAGCTCTTCCAAGACCATTCTGGTAACATTCCTGACTCCATCTCCATCCATATATTTTATTAATTCTCTTCCTCTTATTCTACTTTCTTCAACCTTACAAGCATCGCCCCCTATAACTGGCAACAAAATCTGCAGGGACTGTGGAATGTGTGTTGCCTCTAATCCTAGGAACTGATTTTCAATAACTGTTCCTATTAGTCCCATGAATTCAAGATAAGAAATAAGAAACAGGAGTGGTCTTCCACATATTCCACATACAACTCTCTGTATTTTTCCACTATTGACCCTGATGTGTAGGACTGTTAGGAATTTCTTGAGGACCACAGATTCTCTACTTCTGGCCTAAAGAATAAAAATTGTCAGATTAAAAAAAGTCAGAATCCAAAATTCACTTCACTGGTCATATTGAACACAATAGAATTTTTGAACAGACTGCTCTGCAAGCACAGAGTGTCTCACACATACACACAAAGCCATAATTAGTTTCACAGTAACACTCCCTCTACAATTAATTATTTCATTAAATGATGAGCTATATAATCATGACAAGAAAACCACTCACACATTTAATCTACGTCCAATGATAAGAATGATTTATTTTAGGGTACCTTCTGTAATTAAATCTTGCTACTTTGTGTTGTGAGACTGTTTAAAATGCAAAACAGTAAACCCAAAACAGACTTTGCTAAAACAAAGAAAATTCAAGGTTTTAGTAAAAATGAAACAATTGAGCAATCTTGCATAAACCAGTTGCTTCTCTCCCTGCTTCCCCCACTTCTTGGTGATACTTCTTACCATGCAGAATATAACTGGGGAAGGAAAATGCTCAACATTATTTTTAGCCATGCATGTTGCAAATAAAGTACAAGCATTGTAATAACTGCAAATTAGTTTCAGTTCAGTTAGGATATAATGGCTGCCTTTCCGTTTGTTCCTAAGTAGCACTGAAATGTACAGAGGTGTGTTTATTCAAAGAAAGAGTTCCATTGAATTGGGCAAATACTGTAACCTGGAATAGTCTAATAGCTTCCACACATTTTAATAGAACATGTGTTAAACAGTGAAGAACAATTTTACACAATTCAGTATTGTAGACCTGGTAAGCACACCCGTGTGCCGAGGGAAAATGTTAAATGAAAAGTGTTCCCATGCATGTTCATATGAATTCAAATTAGATTTTGTCTTCGGTTGATGATAGCAAGATCACATGATGGTGCAGTAAGTGGCAGACAGTGATAATTAAATCTGATATTAGCTAGACAGTTTGCTCTAATGATTAAGATGTTCATGTAGAATTGGAAGCCTGAGTTCTAAAGCTGTGTTAGGCATAGAATCAACCATGACTCTCTTTCAACTCTAGGAAGAACCACTGCTAAAAATGTTGCCAAGAAAATTGCAGGGACCTGGGGAGTCAGACACTAAGAGTCAAGTCTGATTCAAAGGCAATCCCTGGCCTACCCTTCAAAAATCCCAAGCACAGAATTTCAACCCATAATTTTCAACTGTATAACAGGTGGAGTGTTGAGATTAAAATTGTTCTAATGTTGTAGATAGAACTAAACTTAATTCATGAGGGGGGAAAAGACACTAAGGTAAGATGGGTTCTATTTCTGTATATTTGGCATTTTTCTAGAAGATGTCATCTAGGTTAGTCATATTGCTTCCTGGTCTTATCTTTTGAACAGAGGTACCGCCAAGATTCTTACTTTTAATAGAGTGCAGTTTATAAACAATGCAATAGTTAAAAAGCTTCTTACTGAAAGTTGTTACTTTTCTTTTCATTGTATGGCATAATATGATGTTTCCCACCTAGAATCACTAGTTGAGATAGGCTGCTATAGAAATCAAATAAATAAATAATATGCTACATCAGACATGTCAAACACAAGGCCCGGGGGCCGGATGTGGCCCATGAAATGGTTTCATGTAGCCCGCAAAGCCATCCTGAAAACAGGGAGGGAATGGCCCCCTCTGCCTTGGCCCTGGCCCAGGCCAGCCGGGAGCCAATGTACAATTTTGTGGTGGCCATCTATCCTGAAACTCATTCAGTCTTAGCTCCATAAGCCCCCCTCCCCCTGCATGGCCTGAGAGGAACAATGAGGCTCCTCCAGTGGATCATGCCTTGGCACTTGCCCTGGTCCCTCCCCCTTCTGCCAGAGACCCTCAGATCTATCCCACTCCTGCCCACGCCCCCACAGGCACCCTTGATCCGAACTATATAAAACTGGCCACACCCACCCAGTAGGCACACCCACCCTGGCCACACCCACCCACCCCGAGGGCAACCGCAATGCTGATGCGGCCCTCAATGAAATTGAGTTTGACATCCCTGTGCTACATGATTACATGATTCTGTAAGCTTGGTTTATCATAAATCACTGATAAGAGTCTTACATGAGTGTTATACCAGATGATCCAACAAATTTAGCCAGTCTGTTGGCTGGCTATCACAACAGCTTTTATGATGACTAACACTTCTTGGTTTTGTTTGAAGGCTGGAAGTTAAAACATTCCTCTGCAATGACTGGATTGGACTGGAACCATTACATGAGCAGGGAAGGGCTGGAACTCCCTGGCTCACCCCATCAGATGTATCTCTTTTTATTTTTTCAGTGCCTGCAGAATTGGGAACAGTGGAGAAGCTGCAGCTGGAACAGCAGCCCCACTCCTGTTTTCTGTGCTTGGAGGACAAAATGGGGAGTTAAACATAAAGTAATCCCTGTCTGGGTTTCTCTCAGATGCGGCCCCGTGGATCAGAGAAGTCAACTAAAAGCAAGCCCTAAGTACAAATTTAAATTTATTAGAGACTGAAACATTTACTGAGTGCAACATGCCATGACTTAGCATATCACACAAATTAATCCAATGTCTTAATTTGTTCACCATGCTAAGCCAAGCACTACAATAGTTCATAAACCACAATACAGGTAATCCTTGACATAAAACACAACCATTACAGCAGGGGTTTCAATCCCGAAGCTGTGCCCACCCCATTGCCGGCAATGGCAAAACTGTCCTGATACGTTGCACGATGTCACATGATGTCGCAAGTTTGACATGTCTGCATTACAGTATTCCCATGGTCATGTGATCAAAATTCAGATGTATGGCAACTGATTCATACGGTTGCAGTGTCCCAGGGTTATGTACTCACTTTTTGTGACTTTCTGACAAGCAAAATCAATGGGGAATTCAGATTCACTTAATAACCGTGTTATTAATTTAACAAGTACAGTGATTCACTTGACAATTATAGCAAGAAAGGTCATAAAATGGGACAAAGCTCACTTAACAAATGTCTCACTTAGCAACAGAAATTTTGGGTCACTTGTGGTCATAAGTTGAGGACTACCTGTAGTTAGAGTTCACAAAACTAAGTGAATGAGTTCTATGAACCAATTGCATCCTATTAACTTCAAGATGAGTCACCAGTGGCATGTTTGCTTTTTTGCCTGAGTGACTTAAATCAATAGTGTAACTTTTCTAAAGATATAATCAAGTCACTGAAGAAACCTAGGAGCATCTTTTCACAATTAGTACTTTTTTTTTCTAAACGCATTTCTGTGAACTTTGTGCACAATAATTAATGAACTCAAAGTTGACATCATGACTCAAAACAAGCCTAATGCCAAATCAACTTCCCACGACACTCTATATAGCGAACCTCAAAAGGAATGTTTTAGAAAACTGGGACTCCACCATTGAGTAGGAGGTTGCTGGACTCACATCATCACATCTCAGGTGTCCACAAACACAATCACTTCTAATACGTTACACTTATTTGCACTGTACAGTACTCTGTCTCTCAGGTAACCTGTATATCAACCTTTCTCCCCCCCACTTTCACCCCAGTTTAAATCCTACAACAGCCTAGTCACTGAGCTGCATCTGATAGGAGGCTGCAGCTCACAAAAGCTCGTCTTTTAATAAAATGTGGTAGTCTGAAAAGGTGGCACAAGATTTCTTCTGATTTTCTGCCACCAGACATCGCTCTCCTTCTGGGAGAAATCACTGATGGCTGAGATGCGGTGATGCTTGCAATGAATCATCAAAGCTCATCAGACTTGATTAAAATCACCCGATCGGGATGATCGCATAAGCCCTTCAAGCTTCCGACGTGCGACAGCCCATTGACCCAGCTAAAGGCTGCACTGGCCACCATCTGCCCGGTTTAAAACTTGGCCCTTTCAGGCGAGTTTGAGCAACTTAACGCCACGGATAGAAAAAGAAGCCTCCCCTGGAAGAAAGAGCCTGGCTGGCAATATTGCTCCGACGGAAAGATGAGGTGAGCGCTGCACGCTCCTCCTCCGAGGTCGGAGAAGCGCGAGTGCCCAGCAGGACGACGAGACCGAGGAAACGGCTGGCTTGGCCGTCTACCGAAGGACCAAGACTGCTGCGACCTCCCTCGCCCTGAACGAAGGCCGCCAGCGTTCCAACTCTCGTCATTTGAACGACGCCGCCAGCAGTGCCGGCGGTGGCGAGCCTTGCGAGCTGGCGCTCATGCGCATTGCCGGCGATGCTTTCGCGCTGTCCTCTCCTGCTCCGCTGGCGCTCCTCCTCTCGCGGTGGCGCAGCGGCGGCTATTACTAGTCGTGCTCTCTCTCCCTCTCGCGCTCTCTCTCTCGTATCAAAATCCCTGAGTCGGAGAAACTGCCTGCTCTGGGGCTGCTTCTCTCTCGCCTTCACCCCGCGCCTGAGGGCGAAAGAGAGAGACGGATGCCCTGGGCTCCGCGCTGCCCACTCCCCCGCCTTCTCGGTCTAATTTGCCAAAGGAGATTGCGGAGGGCTCCCGGCTCCCCAGGCTGGCTCCGGTCGGACTCGGCGCTTCTCGCCGCAGGAGTCGCAGCCGTAGCGCGGTAGTGCCGGCTGCCGCCTCTGGAGGCGCGGCTACACACGCGGGAAAGGCGGTGAGAGCATCTTTGGCCACGGACGGTCCGTGGAGTCCGGCGGAGGTGCCGGGGTTTCTGGTAAGTCGTGAACGGTTGGCATTTTAATAGGGACCCCGACAAATGACGAGACGGACCCCTTCCGCTTGGGAGACTTTCATGCTGCCGGATCCCAGGGTCAGTTAGACTCTTGGAGGGGTGGGGAGCGTGGCTTAGGCTGGCTCTAGTAGCGAGAACAGTATACTCTGTAGATGCTCAGGAGCGTTTCTGGGAAGAGGCAAAAGCCCCAGATTTGGCAACTGTGACTTGTACCCCAAAAAAAAATGAACTCCCTGTTCAGAAAGAGTCTTCGCAGTTGGAAGGAAGGGAGCGCAAGGAGCAGAGAATGGCGACCTTTACTTCTGGATTCCTAAATGGAGAGCGAACAAGTGGCCGCCAGCCGGTTATCCATATTTATCCGTATTTAGTCCAAGAATCAGTACAATACATACAGAATTTGAAGAGAGAGAGGGCAAATAGGTTGGCCAGTAAAAAGGTTTTTTTCTTTCTGCACCTCAAGAATCAGGTGCCATTGACCTGGGAGGGCAAGCATTTTGCTAACTGTTGCAGGGCTTGCAAGAGGCTGAGATTGAGAAAGGGTTGCACAGTTTTGGGGAACAGAAATGGCTACCACTTACTCCCATGTGCAAAGAGGGATTTTAGTCTTCTCCCAGAAAAAACTTCAGTGGAAATCAATAAATACTTCTTGAGCTGGTGCATTTTTTAGATCTTAAAATTGTGGTATCAGTTAATTGATTGCAGCTTGACTTTGGGGTGGGTAAAATGTAATGGAATGATGTTCCTGTTCAGTTTTTGAAACTTACTGGGTAGCCTAGGGAAAATCCTAGAATAAATGTGTTTAGAGAATGGGAAATGACAAAATGTTTCTGAGAGGCACTTTAGAAGGTTGAATGATACCGCTTTGCAGAGAATGGGGTTGAAGAAAGCCCAAGAGGAAAGAAAAAGCTGAGAGAGTAGATGCAACTTGGCATAATGTCTAAATAAATTAATGGAAGGTTGCCGATTATGAACTTCAATAACAATTTGTGTTTAGGTGCATTTACATTCTGGAAATTAAGGACTTGTGCATTCATAGAATTTGAAAGCTAATGTGTTTCTTGGGGGAGAAAACCCCTAGTTGTCTATAAACTGCAAGCATAGGCTTTAAGAGCTGGTTGTTTGATTGCAGCTATTTGTGGTTGTAATCTTACATAATCCCCATGATGTTAGTGGAAGTATTTATAAATTAATGGTTTGTTAATGGCAGCCCAAAGAACTAAGGTCTGTTGTGACATTATTTGGGAGAACATGATGGGATGGGGAGATTGCTGCAGTAGGAAAGAAACCTCCATTGTAATTCTAGCACAGGATGGAGAAAGGGTAGCATGTGGCAAGTGTAATGTATCAGTAATTTACTTTAGCACAGAAAGAGCTGCAGGATTATTCAGTTCCAGGTTATTGGATCACAGGTTGTGCAGCATCTCATGGATTGTTGCCAAGTCTTTACGAACAATGGCAAATAGATTTTTTTTTTTCTATTCCAGTCACAGCACATTTCAGTTAAATTTATTTCTAAGTTAACATTCTCTCAGCTATCAGTTAACTGATTGCAACTTGACTGGGTGTAGTGGTTATCCTCAGATTTATATGAACCACTTCAGGGCCATTGTGACTAGTACAGATGCTGTATTTGTACAGATTTATCTAATTTAATTTTGGAACGAGGGGACTCATGCATATCAATGGACTATGGAAGAATCCCAAGAAATAGCTTCTGGGAAGCAATGATGGAGTGAAAACTGTTCCACGAGAGCAAAGCTAATAACAACAGCAGAAACAAAGATGGTGAATGGATCAGCTCAGAATTCCTCTCTGGAATAATGAGAGGACCAGGATCAGCCACAGGTACTCCATAGTCTCTAATGGTTTTTAGAACTCTTGGAGCTGAAGGAAAGTCATCTCACCTAAACCACAGTTCAACACCTTCAAAAAGATAGTGGGTTTGCATACTTCTTTTCTTAACCACTTTAGGAAATTTCTTATTAATGGTTTTATGGATGTCAAGAATCTTCAGAAGAGCAAATTTCATTATTCTGTGTGAATTTTGTTCTATTCTTGATGAAAGAAGTTTCATGCAAGTTTAAGCAGTTAAGAAATATTATTGAACAAACAGTAAAGGGATTACTCCAATGTTGGTTTTGGAAAGTTTTGAAAATTTTACACACACACACACAAACACACACACACACACAAAGGTTTTGAAATTAATTATAAGAAACCTTACTGATAGAAAGTATTTTTATTGTTGAATAAAAAATAATAAAGGGGGACTAAAAAGTTGACTAGAGGAAAATAGGAAGAACTAAATATTATAATTAAAGGAGAAGAGATCTGTTAATACAGAATGGAGCAGTATTATTTGAATGTAGAACAATTCAAGGGTATTTAAGAAAAAAGCACTCTAATTATTCTTAAGATAGTTTGCTATTATAAAAATGGATTAAAAAGAAATTATGAAAGAGGAACAGATTTTACTGGATGAAATAGAACTGATTTAAATGTGGATGTGAAAATGGATTTTAAAATATTATATTTCAAGAGTGATATGGAAAATGATGTTACACTGGATTTACAAATGAAACCAGCTGCTATCTTAATAACTTAAAGAGGATATACAAATAATAAACCAGAAGAGCGACTTGGATAGCTTTATTATATTGGATTTACAAAAGGGATGTGTCAAACCTTTAAGGAGTTTCTGACAGGAGACAAAGAGTAAATGATAAGAAATCAATTTGTTATTTGAAGGGATTAAAAATCAGGATTCTTAAAAGTGAACAAAAGGAATGCAAAATAGGTTTATTTGATCAAATTTAAAATATATAATGCTCTTTCTGATAGTTCTTAATGGATTTGTACTGACTAGATCTTGTTTATAGATAAGAGATAAGATATGAAAAGAGTTTTTTGTTATATTGTTAGAGAAAATGATATGTTACTGTGTTAAAAATAAAAAAATATAAATCTGACTTATTTTATTGGGGTTAAAATATATGTGTAATTTCTGGTAACTCTTAATATACTTTTGCTATTTAGGGCTGAATGATGAGACTTTATAATTGATATATAAGAGAGGAGATATGGGAAGATCTTTTTCTGATGTCAGAGAAGGTAATAAGTTACTGAAACTATTTATCTTGATAAAGTCATTTTTATATATCTTTTCTTTTTTCCGCACCCTTTATTTTTTCTTTTCACTTTTTATATTTTTCTTAGTATGCGTTAGTTTTTTTATATTTGTATCTTTAAACCTTAATAAAAACTATTATTAAAAAGAGAGAGCATTCCAAGAAACCTTTTCTTCATTAGCAAGAGCAAGATGATTTTTGACAATATTAAATATATAATTTGTGGAATAAATTGAAATTGCTGAATGTTTGATAGAAGAGGGGAACTCTGATTCTGCACATCATTCTTGATTTCACAGCAGAGAAAATGAAGAGCAATTATAATAAGAGGGTGAGACATATTGCTGCTGTTAGTATCCAGCAGACCTTTTCTGAACAGGAACATGAAAAGCAGGTTCAAGCATTTTTGGTATTTGGATGGGAGATTTCAAAGGAATAATGGAACATTAATCTGGGAAATCTAAAGGGAAAAAAAGGCTTGAAAAAGGCAGTAACTAACCACTTTTATATGGTAGCTAAGAAAACTAATAGCATGTATGACCATGAAGTCATCAGGAGTTCAGTTCAATTTTAATTTAGTATAAATCAGTATGTTTCAATCTCTGCAACTTTAAGATTTTGAGACCCCACGAAATGACAAAGGTGCAAGGATCCTGCTATAAAGTATACCGTGGATAGCTGCTAGTAGTTATTGACAGTGTTTAATTAGTAAAGCATAGCATCTGTTGTCTGGATCTTTTGAGACACAACCACAGGTCAAGCTAATATGGTACCTTCTGCTGTTTGAAAAACTACCTTATTTTGATAACAGGATTGTTTCTTCTGAAGCAGGAGAAAGAATAAACTATGCAGATAGATATCAATCATGATATATAATGTTATTTTTTCTGAACTACGGTTGCAACTGTATCTTAGGTTTATTCAGAAATAATTTTCTAAGTGTGTTTAATGATCCATCTGAATTTTAAATCATGAACTGCAAACCTGTATATTATATCATAACTTGAAATAGATAACAAACGATGCCATGAAAATCTTAGTTTATTTTAGACTTGCAACCGTCTGTGATATAGGTTAGCCTGATGAACTTTGCTATTAAATGTAGAAATTAGGAATCTTAGTCTGTAGAACAATGCCATAATATATTTATACATACATACTGTACGTGTATAACTCTTGAACATGGTAAACTAGGATAAACTTTGGATCTTGGTCTTCAAGTAAATTTTCTCATGCATACTGGAAATTTTAAGATTTGTACTTCCTATACAACTAGAAAGCATCATATTAAAATGTTAAATGATAGCACACCACTCATCATTAAATGCTGTATATACTTTCTTTAGATTGATTAGAAAAATTTCAAGATAATTCTCTTATACATAGGGTACAATGGCCTCAGAAACTGCAGCTGCCATGCAGTCTCTGAAATGCCACTCCCAGGCTGAAATCTTTACTTCCTTTTGCTCCCAGGCAATATAAAACTTTTACTTCTCCCATACATAAACTGAGCCTTTTCTGCATAGATGCAGAGGTGTGTACTTATGGTGATCTCTCCATGGGACTTACTCCCACTGTTGCTTGAAGAGAAAATTTCCAAGCTAGTCGTGCAACAGAAAAGCTTTTCAGCTAAATACAACTAATGATCTACTTATCTGCGTACACAGACAGTGATTCATAAGTATCTGAACTATAATGCTGGGAATATGAAAGGTCTTTAACCTTTTCTTTGGATCTGGCACTCAGAGATCTGGCAATGAGCAGAACTATTTATTATCATTTGTGCTGAATACTTGAACTGATAAGAAAAAAAATTGTTTACATTTTTGCAAAGTATTAAGATTCTGCCAATTA